TTTATATAAACTTATACGCTACTTAAAGCAGTGAGTTGGAGAAGTCGCATTTGAGCGAGAAGCGACCAGAGGTCACTCGAGCCCGGCGATAGGCCGGCAGACGCCGAGAAAAGCTACGTGACCCTCTGTTGAAGAGTATTGCTGATGTGGAGAATTTATGACTGGAATTCCCGATGGGCATAATTCCTCGTTGTAATGGCTAGCCCCCATCAAAGTTTAGAAACAGGAGATACTTTGTCATTAGATTCCACAAAAAGGGTTAATTTTGTGTGTCAACAATTATATAAAACCAATAGAATATTAACCAGCGACTTTTTACGTGATTTATTATGATTTGCATTTTCACCAGCGAAAGTATCCTAATACTTTTTCATAGCACGGTTCCGTCAACTCGATTCAGTGCTTAAATTGCGGACGAAAATTCGATCTTCACTGCACTTATCAAACAAGCACAACGTGGAAGAGACCGAATGAAGGTAGCAGACAACGGATAATCATCGGCGCCAGTACTGACCAGCGTGGGAAAGTCCCCGGTACGGATCGGGCCGGCCGTGTTATTATTTTATAATTGAAACAGTGTAAAATCTATGTCAACAGTTTCTTCGCTTGTACTTCTCGCTTGTCGAGCTCTCTTCAGACTTGTTGCTACCCAGACAATTTTGATCTTCAAATCTTATTTCTTTATTGTTCTCTCTCCATAACAGACGTCCTGGGTATGATGATAAAGTACATACGGCTGCAACGCCTGTGTTCGGGAGATTTTGACGAGCGTAGAATCACCTCTTAAGTGCCGTTGTTAACACGTCCATCCTGGACCGAGGTGGTTGCACCTGTTAGGGTCTCAGCTATGGGTAAATGGTTTGCCCCAAAACTAGGATCAAAACACCATGAAAGTATAAAAATAGATTTTTATAATAAAAAGACTAGCAATGCAGTTCTAAAAAAATACTAGCAATATATTTGACCCGACAAAACTCACTTTACAAAAATACATCAAGGAAATCTGCTCTGTAAATTGGTTCCTCACAAAGAATATATATTCTATTCACACGAATCTATCAGAAAAATCTTTATCCACTGTGCCATGTGACCTCAAAGACACATGGCACAGTGGATAAAGGCGTTGGTTAGATCCAGTGACAGGACCCAAAGAGTGTGAGTTCAATACCCGGTTAAGGCAGTGGAGAACTTGAAGAGGGAAAATTAACAGGCGATAACTGATAACTGACATCCATTAAACATGGAACTAGAACAGTCTACCCCAGTGAGTGAAATAAAGGGTTCAGTTCGACATTCCAACCACCTGAAGAAGGCCGGAGCGTTGTAATAAATATGGTGACAAAGATGAGGACAATAGTCGAATAATGTAAATAATGTACAGAAAAATCTTGTCGGCATTAAATAGTCCATTAAGGTTATGCCGTAAAACAAAATAACCCCAAGAAAAATTTTCATAATTGTGTTTTTATTTTTTTTCTCATATTCTCAATATCTTAGTAACAACACCTTGTGTCTTAGTAGCTTTATTGCCTTGCTTGGGTGAAATGTTTAAAAAATGGAGGGTATTTATCATTTTTTCTCAAGCAAGACTATAATGCCGCTAAGACACTACTGGAAATATAAAAGAAGGAGAAGACTTCGGAAGAAAACGGAAACCCACTACTTACACAGGAAACAAGAGATAAACGTCTATTCCTGTTCAAAATGGCGAATGTAAGCTGTACCAAATAACAAAAAGAACAGATTACTTAAAAGCTTCGAACATCAGCAACTACAAAAATAGCACATGTAACTAGAAGGAAAATAAGGATACAATTAAGACACTGATTTCCCACACTAACAAAAACAAAATGTTTGGAAGAAAACTTCTGTTAGTATTTGAAAGAGTTATAACATTTACTTACATTATTTACCTTATCTGGACTGTTACCCTCATCTTCATTTCCATATTCACAACGTTTCAGCCGTTGTACGCTCCGACCTGCTTCAGTTGATTAGAATTTCGAACAATGTAAATAATGTAATTAATGTAATTAATCATGATACCTCATCACAAAGATATAGACAGATATTAAAACATTTAATCGAGTTGAGATTTAAATTCGTGAAAAATTGTTTAAAAAAACAAATTATCAGTTTCAAACGACACTGATGTTAACTTTTCAGCAAATAATTGCCAAATGTTTCCTCTATGAAAACGACTATATCTTTTCTTTACCTTTAGCATTTTGGTTTACATAAACACATTGTAGATACGAATCTGGGAATTTGAATATCAAGAGCTTCATACAGTCTGCCCAGTGGAGAATTTTGTCTGCATGTTGTCATATCAAAGATCAATTGATTCAGATTAAATCTATACACAAGAATAAACTCGAATTACCTACATGCAAATTCGAAACCTCATTGACATTTTTAGATATGTTAACGCGTTCTACTTTTGATGCGTCATGCTTCTCACGCTGCTGCCTATCTATGTATGATCGATATTTATTTTCGAGTGTGAAATCTCTTTGACTATCTGGGAGATGTATTGATTCGAAATTTATTCAATTCTAATTTTGTTCTATTTGGCCAATCAGAGTCACAACAAGTACAACAGATGAAAAAAAAGGAATTATTTTGGAAGTGTTATTTGTGAAACAAAAAAAAAGAAACATCACAAACGATCGTTGTGAATATTTAATAAATTGTGAATGCAAGGAGGCACCAACGGTCGCAATCAATGGCGGAGATCGTTAAATTTGAGTGCAAAGAAATATTTCTGGAAGGAAGCCAGACAAATGGCGGCAAAATCATCAAAAAAAAAAAGGAGGGAAAACGAAAAAAAAAAAAAAAGGGAAAGAAAAATTAGGATGAAATAAAAACAAAATTTTTTCGTATGTTCTTTTTTATATTTTCATGTTTGCATATTTAATAAAAAAAAAAGAAAAAGAAAAACGTAATAAAATCAGTTTTATTTTTCTAGTAACGATCACTAATGAATACTATAAATTTCATCGAAATTCACAGAATCAAAAATATTTTTCTCTTACCAATTTTTCATCTTCGTCATTCAGCCAAATTTGGAAGCAAAATTTCACACATTTCTGTTGATGTAGATTCATTTCAATTTATTCATGGCAAAAAGAGTTCTTCGTAAAATATTTATGATAAAAAGAGTTTTTATTTTTCCTGTTATAAATTTCTTATCAAAACACGCCGATAATGTTTGATGGTTGGAATTTGAAACAGATATTAAAACAACCCCTTTTCAGGTCAATGAAATACATAGCTTGTGTGAATTTCTTTTGTGATGTCAGCGAACACTCGTTACCACTTTTGTGATGTCAACGAATACTCGTTTTCACTTTTGTAATGCTCGTTGTAGTAGAGACTTTGTAATCACAGATACAACTATAAAACGTCGTTGAATAATACTGGTTTCAGACCCTTCATATATCACACTCACTAATAGTTCAGACTCGATAATACTCGTCCGAATAATAATACGTATCGTGATCCGAATAGATAAAATAGTATAGTGAATAGAGTAGAGAATAGCGGTCCGTATAGTAATAGAGGATAGACTAGAAATAGCCATCAATTAGACGCAAAGCTAATTCCTATTTATGCTTTTCCTCTATGGTCTTAATTCAGTAATGGGATCGCCTGAGTTTGCTCACTGGCGATCTATGTTCAATCTCAAGTGTCGGCAGCGACATTTTATTTCTATATATCACTCATGGTAATTTACCCACGCAAGCATGGACTTTCCCAGCTATAAATAGAAGCAGGTACTGCCTTTTGGAGGGGGAAGTTTCCAGCCATCAGCTCTGACAGTCGGAACGAACATTCTTGCTGTAACACTTTTATGTTTTATATGTTTATTTTACAGTTTCTCTTAATATATTTGTTTAACTCAATTCCTCTCTTGTGTCTTTATATCGGGCCCTAACAAGGCCACAACAAACACCTGTTAAAAGATCCATCATGAGATGTCCGAATTAATTATATTGTAAGGATACAGAACGCCTTTATCTCTATCTTTGATGGACACAAGTCACGTTTCTAACATGACAGCCACTTCATGACGTCACTCCATAGAGTTATGAAATGCGGCAGTTAAAATTAAGTTCATTTACAGCAACCAAACAGTAAGCTTGCTTTCTTTAGTTCAGAAGGCAGAGGCTAAATCTACCTCCGCAGCAGCTTACAATGAAATTCCAGTTCGCAGTCCTCAGTTTGGGAAAACCTAAAACTAGGTGTTTCCCGTTCGCAGAATATGTCCTCGCCTAGGATATAGATGAATCCGGCCCGTTTGAATCTGGAGTCCTAAGAATGGCTTCTCCAGGTACATGAGTATCTCCATATTATATGTAAAAGTCTTCCTTTTTGCTTCTCCTTACACTCTGATTTGCTGTGTAGATATATGTGATATATTATTCTCCGCGTGGGACGTGTTTATATATTTGTATATAGTTTTGTGTATGCCTTAATGATATAAAAGTCTCTCTGAGAACAACGCATTTTTAAATCTTTTTCTTTTCAGCCATTCCGTTCCGTCCGTGAAATATCTGTGCTATTATATCATAGATATAATAATGCCCATAACGGGGGAAACACAAATGGGAGAATAAATCTTTCTTTCAAGCACTCCTCTTATAATATAAAGATTTTACATGATTATCGTTTTTAAGTTTTTTTCTCGTACCATTTTTATTCCTTTCTTACGCCGAGTGTTAATTATAGACGCACTTTAAGTTTTCCGAATTTTTAGAAATTCACCCAACTTAAATCTTCTTCAGCTATCATGAAGTATAGCCATTATTATTTTTCTTGCTCTTTAATTCTTTACATATACGAAAGGCCAGCCATAATATAGTTTAATATATTGGAATTAAATATTTCAAGTAATATCTTAATCCCTCTAAATTCAAATATATGACCGGATTAAAGGACTCCCGAGCCGTCACCTACTGGAAGATTATGGCTAAATTTGTATTTAATGCAATAAAAACGAAAAGAATATTCATCAGCAGAGAAGCCTTTGCCAACTGGGCTGACAAAGAACGAATGAACTACGCCCAGCAGTATAAAGACAGAATAGTGATTTCCCAATCGTAACCTAGATACGGCATGCGATTTTCCAAGCGTAGCTTAGATGTGGCACAAGGCCAAAAGAGGGAGAACCCAGTGAGGATCGAACTCACTCGTAATTGATCTAGTGAGACAAACTTGCTAACCCTTACACCGCCTAGAGGTGCCATATATAAAGATAGAATAACCATATAACCCAAACTCTGCAATCGTTTTAATATAAAAATATGATAGCATATTATGAAAAATATAAGTTGGTAGGCACTATAAGCCATTGAAAATGGAAACAAATAAACATACAAAATAAGAACAAATCGGTAAATGTACAAATTAGAACCTGTGTTACAAAAACGTGATAATATAATTATTTGGCATTATGAAAATCAACTTGGTCACTTAAATGAAGCCGGAAGATCAGATGTAGCAATCATAATTAAAGAAATTAAGATTTGTTAGAAAGTAGATGTTCTGGCAGGGGAAAGCTGAAAAATAATGTAAATAGGAAAAAGTACATTGTGAAATATGAATGTGAATATTTTATTTGGGAAGTCCATCCATGTGAGCCATATCAAAATAAACTAAAATAATTGTGACATGTTAACGTGAAAATTGTATTAAGTAAGCCCATCCTGGAGCGCCTTATCAAAATGAACTGAAAAATCGTGAAATATGAACGTGAAAATTAAACTGAAAAAATTGTGAAATATAAATATATAAACGTGAATATCTTATTAAGTAAGCCCATCCTGGATAGCTTTGTGAAAAATGAGTTGAAATAATTGTGGAATATGAGCGTGAAAATTATATTAATAAACATATCCATGACAGTCATATCAAAATAAACTGAAATAATTGTGAGATATGAACGTGAAAATTATATTACGTAAACCCATCAATGAGAGTATTGTCAAAATGAACAGAAAAAATTATGAAAATTGTATTAAGTAAGCCCATCCATGAAAGCTATGTCGAAATTCCGAATTATTTCCCTTTCTTCTAAGGGAAATCCTTGTAAGGGAAGTAAATGTCATCAGTTAATAATTATCCCCAAATTGCTTTCATCTGTCTTTCCGATTAGGAAAAAAAGAAAAATGCGAAAATGATAAGAAATTAAACTATATTCTAAAGTGGAACTTGAATGTAATTGTTGAGTGTTTTATTTTAGCCAAACAAAGCAAAAAACTGCCTCCATCAGCAACAATTTTTTTATTGTTGGCTAGAATATGATTGACGTCTGTCGCCTCGAAATTATTATCATCTTCACGTAAGATTTTAAGATGATTTGTTTGTCTAAATTGTAATTATATGTTTATACTTTTTCTTTCAAAGACAGTCAATTTCTAAGCACTACTTTTTGGTGAAAGAAATATTACAAGGTCAGTAAACGTTAATCATGTTAATGACAGTCTCTGAGTAATAAAAATGTAAAGACGCGTGTGCGCGTAGGAATACATCCCCGAAAACACAAAATTAGAAAAATCAAATTCATGGTGATAGCGTGATTAGTGGCATAGTGAAGTTATATCAATATTTTATTAACATATTTTATATAATTACAATCATAGTCATACGGGAAAGTCTCAGAAGGACAGTTTAATGAACACTTGAGCATTGAGAAAGGAAATCAAGATAATTTAATTAATTAAACATTTGAGAAGTCATTTTTGTACAATATCTAAAGATAATATTGTCCTCATAATTAAATTCCTCATAAAATAACACGCAAAATTACTTTATTATGCCTGTTTGTTCATCTGTAACATTTTTGCTTTTCGTTTATAAAAGTTTACTGATTATATATATATATATATATATATATATATATATATATATATATATATATATATATATATATAAAAAGAAAGAACAGTAAGATATATAATCCGGTGTTCTTATTGATATTTTTTATTTTTACAAAATAGTGCTCAATGTAAATTTACAGAGCATTAATATTATAAATTAACTGATTTAAAATAAGTTTTTTTCGCTACACTAATAACCATGTTTCAAAAATGGAAGCTAAAAGCTTCGAATTTAATTTTGTAATTAAATTAAAAACATTTGTAATTAAATTAAAAACATTAGTTCCGTTTCATCCTCAAGTTTGAGGATGAAATGGAACTGATGATGTTTTTAATTTAATTACAAAATTAAATTCGAATCTTTTAGCTTCCATTTTTGAAACACGGTTATTACTGTGTAGCGAAAAAATATTTTAAATCACTTAATATATATATATATATATATATATATATATATATATATATATATATATATATATAATGCTCTAACCAAGATATTTTATGTCAGACAAATGTTACCTGGACATAACAATGTGATGAAATTGTTAAATATTTTTTTCCCCATAAGCGCTTTCATAATATAAGTCTTCTTGTGCCTCCATTATTTATTAGTTTGTTATTAATTTAGGTTGGACACGCATTACGCTATGCCGTTACCACCAGATAACTAATGAACCATTCCGTTTTGATTGTGAGGTAAGACAGAAGAAAGAATATCAGAGATGCTCTTTGGTCTGATAGATAGATAGATAGATAGATAGATAGATAGATAGATAGATAGATAGATAGATAGATAAAGAAAGAAAGAAAGAAAGAAAGAAAGAATTGAACAGACTGATAGATAGATAGATAGATAGATAGATAGATAGATAGATAGATAGATAGATAGATAGATAGATAGATAGATAGATAAAGAAAGAAAGAATTGAAGGTCTGAGATAGAAGAAAGAATATAGATAGATGATAGATAGGTCTGATAGATAGAAAGATAGATAGATAGATAGATAGATAGATAGATAGATAGATAGATAGATAAATAAAGAAAGAAAGAAAGAAAGAAATAGATTGAATAGATAGATGATAAAGATAGATAGATAGATAGATAGATAGATAGATAGATAGATAGATAGATAGATAGATAAAGAAAGAAAGAATTGAAGATAGATAGATAGATAGATAGATAGATAAAGAAAGAAAGAATTGAACAGATAGATAGATAGATAGATAGATAGATAGATAGATAGATAGATAGATAGATAGATAGATAGATGAGCAAACTGAGATAGAGGGATAGACAGACATTAAGAAAGAAAGAAAGAAAGAAAGAAAGAATGATAGAGTAAACGATAGCGTACTCATGTGGATAACGTCTACCTTCGAGAAATTGAAAACCCTGCTAATTATATATCTATTCATTTGTATCCCCTTACTTCTTTAAGTAATTACCTTCATTCCTACTTACGATTGTTAATGCAATATTTTGTTAAAGATGTTAATCTCAATACTTACCGATGAAATAGGTAATTTCCTCGGTTATTTTATAATCATGGGACTCGCCAAGAACCTATTTAAATTCATCAGAAAATTAAAAAAGGAATACCGTGATATTTTCAGGGGTCCTGAAACATGTTGAAATCGGATTTTTAACAAAAAATAAACTAATAAATTTAAAAATACCGGTTCGTAACCAAAGGCGAATTGGGATAGTAAAATATGTCATCCGAAATTTAAACAAAGAAACAGGAAATTATTAGAAACAAAGAAAAAGATGCTATATAATACAAATTCTTCTATATGGCAGTGAATTCTGTGGAATTTGCTCACAAATGAGGAGAAAAAGGGAGACAAACAAAAATGTGGTTCGACAGAATTATACTGAGAATAACATGGACGTTGCATATAAGCAAAGAGGAAGTTCCAAGGAAAATGCAAATTATTTATAAAATCCGAAAGAAACACTTGAAAGTTCTGGGACAATTTATGAGAAAAGAAGGCCTGGAGAATTTGGCGCTCATAGAACATGTTGAAGGCTAGAGGGACAGTGTAAAGATGAGAGTAAGATAAATTTAAGTTCTGAGATAGATAGATACATACAGAGAGAGAGAGAGAGGAGGGGGGGATAAGATAGATAGATAGATAGATAGATAGATAGATAGATAGATAGATAGATAGATAGATAGATTTGGACTGACATAGATAGATCGATACATATATATGTAGAGACTAGGATGAGATAGATAGATACATACATACATACATTGATATGTATAGACTGACATAGATAGATAGATAGATAGATAGATAGATAGATAGATAGATGCTAGGATAAGATAGATAGATAGATAGATAGATAGATAGATAGATAGATAGATAGATAGATAGATATGGACTGAGATAGATAGATCGATACATACATACATATATATGTATAGACTAGGATAAGAGAGATAGGTACATACATAGACACATACATACATACATACATACATTGATATGTATAGACTGACATAGATAGATAGATAGATAGATAGATAGATAGATAGATAGATAGATAGATAGATAGATAGATATGTATAGGCTGACAAGAATAGATTTGTTGTTCGACAGTAGGATTTTGAGTATAGCATTGAGGGTGTATGTAAGTAAAGCGGATGAAAATCGAAAGAAAAACGACAATTATGCATAAAATCAGACAGAAACGCTTGAAAATTGTGGGAGAAATTAAGAGTAAAGAAGTCCTGGAGAATTTGACACGCATAAGACATTTTGAAGGTTTACGGAACAGTGTAAAGCCGCGAGCAACCCTCAAACTAGTTTATATAAATAGATGGCAGAACATGGAATAAAAGAACTCTAAAAGATAGGGTTTTTTGCAGAGTCATTATCGTCCGCCTCTTGAGAGTAATTATTTAAACACAAGTCAATCATTCGGTAAGTTAATCACAACAGAAAGCCCAGATCTTCCTCAAATTCTTTAAGTGCTATATATTCTATATTCGTTATTGTTAATAAAATAAATGCCAAACACAGAATAGATACAACAGTTTGATTACTTTTCGACTGATGGTAAATAAAGTAACAAAATTAAATAATTGTATATTTATTCCCTTGACTCATCAAAATTACACCCAATTCTAGTTTTTTTTTTCTTTTGATGAACTGTCATCATATTTTAATATACGACATTGTTAGTTTTACTTCGAGTTGCAATTAATCAATATTTGGGTCAGACGTGTTTTGCTCGAATTTTTGTTATATTTCCATTTTTCTTTTTATTCACACTTGAACTGCTTCCATATTTCGTATATTCATTGCCTTTGGGATTACTGACATGATTTTGGCTCGATTAATAAAGCTAATCTGATTTTTTTTCCTTTATTTCTTATTAGGAAAGAAAGAGAAAAAAAGAAACTCGAGGCTGTCAACAATATCCTGAAGTGCAAGAATTAAAAATAATTTCTGTCAGAATTCATTTTCATCCATTTTTTTTATTATTTATTCCTTCTTTTTGTACTCCTGTCCATCTGTAATAATTTTGATACGCGTCAGTTTCCCTTTCTTAGCTTTAGAAAAGTTCTTGATCACTGAAGGTCGATAGTGGTTAGTATTTGGCGCTGATATTCAAATTCAGATAATAAGAGTAGCTATTTGTTATATAGGAATAAAGTGTCGCTGCCGACACTTGAGTTTGAACACGGGCGATCCCATTACTGAATTAAGTAGACTACGTGACCGTAAAGGAAACACATATATAATCGCATATAGTCTATCCTCTATTGCTATTCAGATCGCTATTTCTACACTATCCTCTACTACTATACGGACCGCTATTCTCTACTCTATTCACTATATTATTTCTCTATTCGGATCACTATACGGATTACTATTCGAGCGAGTATTATTAGCAAATACTATTAGTTCGAGTAATATTCGAAGTCGTTTGACACCAGTGTTGTTAAACGGCGTTACTATAGTTGTGTCTGCGATTACAGAGTCTCTACTACAACGAGCATTACAAAAGTTGCAACGATTATTCGTTGACATCACAAAAGTGGCAACGATTGTTCGTTGATATCACAATACTATTATTGTTGAAATAACAATCAATGCCCAATTCCGGATAAAAATAGTATCCAGTGTCCAAGTGCAGTTGCAGAACAGCAACTAATGACTTGATGAAGGTCATAAGAAAAAAAAACAAATGTTTGTCATAAAGTAACAAACATAACGACATGCTATTAATCAAGTAACAAATAATATCCGCCATGAGCTAACAGTCCAGATAGCAATTAAGTCTCCAGTGATAGAAATTTATGTAATGAGGTAACAAATGAAATGAGGTAACATATGGAAGTACCGTTGGCAATAAGATCACAAAATGAAGTAATGCTCAAAATGAAGTAACAACACAAAGTCTAGATAAGAAGAATATAACAAGATGAAGTAAAGTTAATAACGAAGTAACAACATGAATTAATAATCGAAATGAGGTATCAAGTTAGTGATGAAGTAACAACGGGTGATAATCGACGTAAGGTGGTAACAAGAGGAATAATGCTCATAATGCGGGAGCAAGTAAAGTTAAATTACTAATGAGATAACAAATGGAAGTAATGCTCGTAATGAAGTAACAAGATGGAGTCAAGTTAGCAATGAGGTAACAAGATGAATTAATGCTCGTTTTGAACAAGCAATAATAATGATCTTAATGAGGTAACACACCATAGTAATAATGAGGTAGAAAATAGAAGTAATGCTCGTAATGAGGTAAGAAGATGAAGTTACGTTAACTAGGAGGTATCAAGGAAAATTAATGACCCTAAAGAAGTAACCAGAGGGAGTAACGCTCTTAATGAATTAACAAGTGGCGTCAAGTCATCCATGAGTGTTGTGGGCGGAGCATTCTGACGATGATGGATTGCCTTTGCCTGGGTTTTTAATATGAGTCCAAAACGGTGTGAATTCAAGATTTCTGAAGCGTCGATATACCTCCCACGCTCTGATTTGTGACTGACTAATACCACCAACGGAGGGAAGTTGAGCCGCCGTGCGACATGCGTCCCTGTGTCGTCATTCCTCCTACTGCCTCTCTTAATAAAACGAATACCAAGTATAAATGACCTTTTACCGTTTTATTTAGTAGGGTGGGGATCCAAAGACCCCACAGAATGCAACTTGAGGTAACAAATGGAAGTAAAGCACTGAATTAAATAACAAAAAATAGTAATGCTCCTAATAAATAAACATGTGATTCCAAGATAGCAATGAGATAACACATGGAGTAGGATTCATAATGAGGTAACAGGAAGAAAATCCATGTAATAATGTGATAATATGATGACAGAAACCATGTAATGAGGTAATACGATAAAGGTTACAAAATGAAGTTAGTAAGGAGACAACAAAAGGAATTAAAGCTAATAGTGAGGTAACAAGATAAACAAAAGGTTCGATTGAATTGATAATCGAAAAACTTCATCTAAAATAAAGTTAGTGACGAAATTATTGCAGAATATTAGCTCCGTTTAATCAGCAACCGTTTTGTGGTCAGTGTTGTTAAAGCGACGCCCATGAAAGACGAGCTATTGAGGTGAGAGTGATCGATTGATGCCTTGTCTGAGGCTAGTGCTTTATTTCCGATTTTCTGTTGTTATCTTTTAATAAATAATAATAAAACTCCCATAAGACACGGTAAAGCTAGGTAAAGTGAAATATATTTCGGGAGAATAATTTTCAAAATATATCTAAGATTCGAATCAACCATTTAGATAGGTAAAATTTATCTGAGTCTTTTAGCCGAAGTCTGGTCTAAAGTCAATACTCTTTGACACTCAGTGTGTAGTAATAACAGACCTAGTGAATAAACTTTGTTGTACTTTACTCTGACTATTCGTCTACAGGGTGCTTTTTATACCTCTTAGATCTTAAGCAGAGGTAACTGATGTTTTATCAGTACACAGTGATTAGCAAATCCCCTACGGTACTAAGCGTGCGATAGAGTAAGTTAATAAACATTATCCTAAAGTAAAGCAGGTAAGGTTATTTATTATGTATGGAATTCACGAGAAAAATAATGGTTTTTGAGCCTCACCTGCTACACAGTACTCCAATATGAGCTGATCAGTCAGATTAGATTAACAGAATGATAAAATATAAGGCGCCCAGCGGCGATATAGAAGCTAGCAAAAGAAATTAGCAACGAAGGTAAAAATCAATTTGCTTAATAAGCTGAAAATATTTGACTATGTTTAATATCTCTGGTCATCCATGACTGTAATGCACGTTGTCTTATTACCGTAAACCCATACGGGTAGAAATGTACAAATGAAAGCATCATGATATCATACTTATTATAAAACCCTGGTTGTGTGTGTGTGTGTGTGTGTGTGTGTGTCTGTAACGTTTATATATTGGATCGGATTTCCTACATTTTTCAACCGATTTCAACAAAACTTCACAGGGCTACGTAAAATTACCTTGTGGTGGTTCTGACAGCGCCAAAAATTGGAAAAACAATTGTTTTTGCACGAAATCAATTTGAAAACACAATTAAGAGGCATCGCGAGAATAAAATGGGGACAACTCATATCAAGTTATACTTATAAAACCCAGATTGTTTGTGTGTGTGTGTGTTCGTTTATATATGGGATCAGATTTCCTACATTTTTCAACCGATTTCAACAAAACTTCACTTTTTTTTTGGCAGGTAGTGTTTTTTATTGTCTTGCACACTTTTTTCTTTATTTTTACATTCAGAATGCTTTAAAAATTCTATTTTCAAGACAATTGTTTATAATAAAATTCTATTCAATCGGTAGACTCATAACGATTGAAAACAATGTTTTTGTTTGAGTTTGACAAATTCGTAAAAAAAAAAAATAATTAAGACATGCGTGTCTGTCAACCTTAAACAATAATCTTTGTCAATTGTATTTTTCAGTCTTTATGATGGTCGATACTTGATCTGTCTCTTACTGTTACATCCCCGGCAACGCTGGGCTCTACTGCTAGTTGAAAATAAAGCAACCAGGATCCACAAGTTAATATCACTCCGGATCATTTGTAAAAATCTAGGCCGTTGATACGACGATAGACAAACAATATGGTTTGCGCTTTGCCTGGTCTACAGCTGATGTGGTTACGGCCATAACTGAATATGTATACCAAGCTCTCGAAAATAACGGCGAAGCTCGTGTTGTTGCTCTAGATATCTCGAAGGTGTTTGGCAGGGTATGGCATGCTGCCCTTCTACGTAAGATCCAGGAATACGGTATTGCAGGACGATTATTTGATTTAATCCAATCATTCCTGTCAAATCGTGAAATGAAGGTTGTCTTGAACAGGTTCGATTCCAGTTCCTTTCATACGAACGCTGGTGTTCTTCAAGGATCTATCCTTGGTCTTATACTGTTTCTGATCTTCAGCAATGATCTTCCTGGCGTCATCAGTTCTCAAGTAGGCATCTATGTAGACGACACAACCATTTACAACTGTCTCAATAAAAAAATCCTGAATTGCTGACCAAGTTAACCTGGACGTTGGTCTCGAAAACGACACCCAAATCTGTGGTCGACTGAG